ATTTGTGGTTGAATATTTGTTGTTAAAAATCGAGAAAATAATTGTGACCTTTGTTTACATAATGGTAAGTCTTGTTTATATAAATTTATCAGTCTATTAGTAATATAACGATAATTCATTTTATGAATATCTAAAAATAGTCATAGAAATTTTTTGTTTTCTATAACATATGCAATAGATTGTGACTGTAAAAGTACATGCTAGATGTATGAAAATCCCACGGGAATTATCATAATTGAATTTTCTCGCTCGCATAAGTACGAAAAATGAATCGTAGGAGTACATTCATGGATATCATTTATAATCAATTATCTGGAACTCTTCAATTGAAGAGATATAGAAAAATAAACCTACCTTGCTTGATTACGACTGATAACCAGTAAAATGACTGCGAAAGCAGATGACGCTATGAATCAATAGTATAGAAAATGGGCGTAGTCTCGTCGGTCCCGGAACAGTCTCCATAGAGTTTTACTCTTCTTGAGCTTTTAATAAATAAGAGTTTGGAATAGGGGTGTTATATTAGCATTTGTTTCAGAATTAGCCTTTATCCTTTGATATTATTTGTATTAAAATGAATTAATCCTAAGCTTTTAATATTAACTCAACATTATTTGTAATTCTAAAACACAACTTATTATTGCCACTCTACTTCTGAGAGTTTATACTCGAAAATGTACGATAATAAAATAAAGGTAGTTTTAATCGTGAGTACCATATCCAGGACAGAACAAAATTGTTCAGTTTTGGAAACTATTGGACTTAGAATGTCTAAGACCTAGTCATTAGTCATATATGTATTAGCATTGAAAGTAATGTTAATCTAATACTAATGCCTTGGCATTAATGAATTCTAATTGAAATAATATCAAAACATTAAGGTTAATTTTAATCTTAATGCCTAAAACATTAACATTAGTATCAATGAAAATTCTCTAAACTTTGATCGAAATAAAAATATTGAAAAGTGAAAAAAAATCACCAACTCGACAGTTAAAAGCTAAAATTGTTCAAAGGTATCCATTCGAAAAAATATTCATGAAAATGTCTTTAGCACATGATCAACGTTGGACTGCGTTTTTGTAGATATGTAAATGGCAAGATGGATATTCATATGTATGAGTCGCGTCTTTTCACGCATATCCTTACTGATTTTTCTAGTTTTTGTGATCAAAAAAAAAAAGATGATCTACCATGAAACTTGATTAACTGATTTATCGAGAACTCTCTTAATTGCCTTTGAGGCGTTCTTTTTCTAATAAATAAATTTGATTCAATTTTAATTGCTTATCTTTTTATATATGTCCATAAGAAAGTCCGATGATGTCTCATTCGACATTTCTCTATTTTGGATCACAATTGCAGTTACCATTAACAAATGCTAATATCAATTGTAACACGACATTCCTAGTGTGAAATCTGCTTAAACAAAATGACTGTTCTATTCAAGCGATATGAAGAATGATGTGCGCGGCACATCTCAATCTGAATAAGATTTTCATATTTTAGTGAAAGTCAGCTAAAGAAGTTTGTCAAAAATTTGAAAAATCGAAGTAGAGTATAAAAATAATTTTAAAAAGAATATTTATGATAAGATAATTCTTTAGTCAAGTTAATTTGTGAATAGATACTCGATTTAAATTTTGTTGTTTGAAATGAACAAATGCTGTTCAAGTTCAACGCACAGATTTTAACAACGAGAAACACGCCTTCATTTCGAGAATTTTAAGTTTTTTATTGTTATAATTTGTGAGACGTAGAAAAAAAAGTTCATTGAGTATTCATGATTATATTTACACTTTTTATTTTTATTTCAATTAAAGAGCTAAAAGTAAATAATTTTAATGCTTTTTCTTGCTTTCAAAACACAAATTCAAAGAGAAGAATAAATTTTTTTCAAGCTTTTTTCTTAAAAGTTAAAATATATAAGCGTAATTGATTTTGGTTGACACATAGTGAAGAAAAGCATAAAATATAAATGTGTGAAAAGAATATTTAAGAAAAAAAAAAAAAGAAATAAGGAAATAATAAAATTTGTTTTTTCTTTATAAATTTATTGTTGTTCATCTTCTTTTTTAATTTCTTTTTTACTTCTAAGATTTGTTGTTGTTTCAGATTTATCTCGAATATTTTTCAGCCATTTTCCATCAGCAAATTCATAATCATAAGTTGGTGATTCACCAGAAGAATGATTCAATTTTGTTTTATCAAATAAATGTTTATCATTATTTTCTATTTGTTCTAATTGACCTTGTTTTTGTTGATTCGATGTATCATATTCAAAATTAGCATATTGTGTACGATCTTCATCAATTTGATCATCATCATTAGCAATAATACCAAGTTTATTTGCAAACCAACGAAATTTATCAACAATTCCTTCTTTAATTAAATCAAAACACATTGCTAATATTGCTAAGCCAAAAAGAATATAAATCGAAGCAAGCAAAAAGCGTAAACCAGATGTTGAACCTGATGTTATACCGGGTACCTTAAACATTCATATAACTATTTAAAAAAGTTATCAACATAATCTCCGTAGAATTAATACGTGAAATACGATGTAGCTTCTATTGCTAATCATAGGAAATTGCTTTATTCTATCTATTCTGAAACATTTCTTCACAATCGTTTTAGTTTTCAAGAAATGCAATAAGCAAGTAGTTCAAATATTAGAACGAAACGTTATTGATATACGGTCTGTGATCGTATATCAACAACGTTTTAGATTAGTGTCTGTCACGGTTTATGACTGTCTCTAGGACACCGTCTTAGACTAGCATCTGACACTGTCTGTGACGATCTCAAGCTGACGTCTGTCAAAGCCTATGGGTAGAGGGGAATGAATTCAAATCTCTACCCAATATACTTCAACACTCTTTGTAGGCGATGTTTCACAAAAAGAAAATTTATTAAAATATTCTACATACATAATCACCAAAACCAATTGTTGCTAAAGTAATATAACAAAAATAGACTGATTGAGTCATTGTCCAACCTTCAAATCTATTAAACATAAATGCACCTAAACAGGTATAACCAATAATGATTAATATAACTGCTCCAAATGGTACACGACTTTCCATTCTACTCCAAATATCATCTTTATAATCATCATCATCGTCATCATCATTGTCATTATCATAATCATTCTCATCGTTATCACTTAATTTTCCATTAAAATGACGATTTGCTTCTGGCCAACTTGGATCAATTGTTGCCGTACCAACACAATCAATTCCATGAGGATTTTTTATTTTTCCTGTATGAATTCGTCGATTTTGACGCCGACGATTACGCATATAAGCACGACAAACACAACAAAAACAATGAAGTAAACCCGAATACATAAAACGAAATATATCACCAAGTACAGAACTTATATTTGCTAAACAAAGAAGAAATATTGGTATACCAATTAATGCATAACAAATACATGTTATTTGCCCTTCCCTTTAGAAAAATAAATATAATGAATTTTTTATCATTATTTACTTCTCTTACCATGATGTGGGTGTTACATGTCCATAACCAATTGATGTTATAACAGTTATTGTAAAAAGTAGTGCTGATGGAAAATTCCAATTCGATGATGTTGTACAATCTTGTCCTATATAACGTAATACAGTTCGCCGTTCATAGATATCATTAGTAAAATTAACTAAATAATCAGCAATTTGTGTATACATTGTTGTTGTATTATCATTTTTTATAACAACATAATTATATATTGTTTCAGAAAGATTTGTTATTGAAATATTTTCAATTACTTTTTATAATATAGAAAAGACGAATAAGAAGAATTCAAAAAAAAATTTCAAAAGAATACTCACAATTTCCTTGTTGACAATTCTGTAATTCAATATATTGTTCGAGTAATATAAAAAGAAAAGCTCCACCAACACTATAAGCAACAACAATAAGGACTAGACCAAGATTTGAAAAGAGAAATTGAATAAATGAACGATAAAATGATCGACGTCGAACATTATCTGTAGGTACTGGTGCAACAAGATGAGTTGCTCGATCAACTGCCATTTTGATTTAGAATAGGTTTTTTTGTGTTGTTGAAACAATGAAGTAATGAAGATGAGAAAAATGAGAAAATGATAAAGTGAGTTTTATAAATTGCTCAAGTAAAGTAAATGACTGTCAGTAAATGTCGAGAAAAAAAAGGAAATAAATAACACATAGTCAATTGAGTGAAAAAGGAAAATAAAAGAAAGAAAAACTAATGGAAAAAAAAAAGAAAGTGACGTTAATGAATATTTTTTTTTCTATTTAATGCAAATAGCAAGAGAATGTTCAAAAAGAAAGTCTGATAAATATTAGTTATTATGAATCGTTTTCATAGTACTTATGGACAAAATTCAGTTTTCTGTTTCAACTTCAGATATCAATTCAATGAATCCCTCAACAGAACTCTTTTATTCTATATATTTTAGAATGTGTAAAACGCATTTACTTTTGACTTTTGTTGAAGTTTAATTTCTACAGTCATACTTTTTGAACCTGTTCTGTAGAAATTTTAAAATGGTTTTGTGTTAGTAAATTCTCTCTTTTCTTTTCTCTTCATCATTTTCATATTTTATTCTTCATCATCTCTACTTTTTTGTTCACTCATTCATATAGCAGAAGAAGCAATAGAAAAAGAAAAAGCAAATATTAAAATGCTTGATGATATCAATAATAATTAATATGAGTTGTTAAATGAATACTTTTCCTAGGCACAAAAGAATAAAAACGATAGACAAAACAATTTCGTGTAATGAACGTTTCTTTTTTCTTTTCGGTTTTCATACAGAGAAAAACCAACAAATAAAGCACAAAACACAAGAATAGTGACCAGAAACAGTGGAGAAGTTCAAAGAATAAAACGGAAGAGAAAAAAAACAAACATGAAAACAATGTTGATGGTTGTTATTGTTGTTGTATTTTATGGTTAGTATTTTTTTTTGTCTTGTTTAGAAAAATTTTATTTTGTTCTTGATGGCTTTTTTTTATACTGATGATTGACCAGCATCTTGTCCACCAGTTTGATTTTCATTGTTATTCTTAAAAAAATTTATTTTCAAAAATACAAAAAATTATTGAACAATAATAGATTAATTTTGAAAAAAAACTTACAGCATTATTTGAATCAAAACGATCTCCTTGGCGAGCTCCTCGGAAGAATCGGCCACGACCACGGCCACGACCTCGACCACGACCATGGAAGCCTAAATAACAGAATGAATTATTTTTCTTGACCTTCAGCACTTCTTTTTATAACATTCGAAGAAAATAAAAACAACTTACCACCACCGAATGGTGGACCCATTGGAGCGTGCATGGGACCCATAGGACCTCCCATCATAGGACCACCAGGACCGCGAAAGATGCGTGGTCCTCGACCTTAAATTAAAAATAAAAAAGAAACTTAAATTCTGTTTTTCGCTGTTTCAAAAATTACCTGCAAAATGTCCATCGAATTCAAAACTACCACGAAACGGTGGTCGTCCACGACCTAAATCAAATATATTAAAATATAGCCAAAATGAAAAGCAATAATTAAACATTATTATACCTCTGAACATTGGTTCACCAAAACCACGTGGTGGTCGTCCAACCATTGGTGGTGGACCATAATTACCGAATTGTTGAGCAAAACCTGGATCAAAACCACCTGGACCTAAAACATATTTTATAAGCATTTTCTTCATATAGATGTTAATCAACATACCAACATTGAAATGTGCTCCACGACCACGGAAAAATCCTCCTCGGCCACGGAAAGGTCCTCCTCGACCACGGAAAGGTCCTCCTCGATTATGGAATGGAGGTCGATCTCCGCCACGTCCACCTCGAAAATTGTCTCGTATATTATTTGGTCTTACATCAGCTGCATATTTTGAACCTTGTACAGCAGTTCCATTAGGACCAGTTACATTTGCAGCTTCGTGACCTTTTTCGCCTAAATTGAAAACAATTTTTTTGTATTGAACAGACAAAACTAAATATTCATTTGTTTTGTTTATCATACCTTGAACAATATCGAATTCGACTTTTTCATCATCACCAACACTACGTAAGTATTTGTGAGGATTATTTTTAATAATAGCCGTTTGATGAACAAAAATATCTTCATTGTTATCATCTCTACAAAACAAAATGAAAGATTCAATTTTTTCTGTTGTAATTTTGGTTATTTATTGAAAAAAAAAATCAATACCGTTGAATAAAACCATATCCACTTTTAACATTGAACCATTTGACTCTGCCAGTTATTTTTGTTTCTAAAAGATACAATTAATCTATGATCATATTTTGAATAAATAAATGATAATAAAATAAAAAAAGAAAGTTCTTGAAAATATAATTATACAATTAAAATCTATATGGAACGGTTGTTTTTTTTTATATTTCATCTTTTTGTTAAAAAGTTACGTAATAAACCAAACAAAAAAAACGTACCAATGACAGTTTTACCATTGACTTGTTTAGGATTATCAGTGCCCGAACTGGCTTGATCTTGTTGTTTATTTTTATTGACATCAGATTTTTGATCTGATACTGGATTTTGATTTGTTGTCGTGTCGGATATTGACATGCTAACCTGACTAATTAATCGATTTGTTTATTTATTGATAAATAAAAGCGCGTTGGTTCACGACAAATGATGGTTTATTATTTTCGTTTGTGCTGTTGCTGCGCTGGATGTTAAATTTAGTTGAAAAACGCTCGGGCGCGTGTGATGGTGGCGGTGAATGGGCTTTCGCTGCTCTTATTCTAACGCATTTGAATGACGAATGATTCGTCCATTTTGTAGGCAGCAAAAACACGCGCCGAACGCAAGCATAGAAATTAAGAGAAAAGAGAGTGAATAAGAGAAAGAAAAGCGTTTTTTTTACTTCTTTCTTGCACACGAATCATTCTCGTTCTTTAGTTGTTCGCGCACATTCGTTACGTGATACATACAAAAAAAAAACACACACACACGAGAAGAGGACACGACGAGAGAGAAAGCAGTAACATATACACATAGTAACCATGATTATAATACAAAGAGAACGATCTGGAATTGTTATAGACTCGACACAGCAGTAATATTGTACAAACATAATGTTCGTTGTCCAGGGAGTGAAAGTAAAAGAAACATTCGCTTTAAATAAATGCGCAAAGAAAAATAACATAAAAAAAAGATAGATAATATCAACATATATTCATGTCTTTCAGGGTTATATCATATTATATCTATTTTAAATCGAATTTATTTAGTTGTATCTATTTCCATTGTCCAGGGATTAGATTAAAAATATAGACAAACATTTCTGAACGATCGATTTGTGACTTATCTTATATTTAAAATATTCTACGAGATAATAGTACGAAAACTTTTGTGATTTAGTACTGATAATTTAATGATATTTATTCAAATATTTACTTTGTCATAATTAAGCTTTGTATTCGAAAAAAAAAAAGAATAGCTTAAACAGCAATAAATTTATCAAATTCTTTTAATGTAGATAGAGCACCACGTACAAAATATGTAGCTATTGCGATTTGATATTCGATTTCTGTTTTACTACCACTAATAATAGCATCACTGACAGCCGGAAAACCAGATGAAGCATATTGATTACTTTTAGGTGGTGCATAAATAATATGTCTTAAATAAGCACAAAAAACAAAAACATGACATAATTGGAAAAATAATATTCTTCATTACTTCATTTCAGTATAATCTGAACCTTGTCCTAATGGATTAAGAAATGCTCGTTCAAATTGTAATAACTGATCATTATATATACGAATTTCATATGGACTAAAAAGAAAGAAAATAATTTATGATGTCATTTTTTTGTTATAGTTCAAATATTCATAATTTTACTTTTCAGTGTCCATTAATTTCGAACGTGCAGCAAAATCTTGAGCAGTCTTACCAAAATCATTGATTGCATTTCGAAGTGGATCTGAGGAAGAATTTTAATTGTCTTAGAGGAATCTAATAAAAATTCTTTTGCTTTTACCAAGATCTATAGGATTGGTTACTTTGAGGCTGTTCATTGTTTCTATAAGAGCAGATGTATATCGACTAATATTTAATGGTAAAACAGGACTTTCCGAAAGAATTAAAGCTAAAACACCGGTAAATTGACCCATAGTTCTATGTGCCTAGACTAGTAAGAACAATAACAAATCAATGAGTCTTAACAATGACTAGTTTACAAGAAAATCAGGATCAACAAATGTTTTCATCATCGAAAAGACTTCATAGGATGTATGATAGAGTGGATATGAACGTAAATTTTTATGATCAGCTGGATTAAACCTATAGGTTGCATCATAATTTGATGAACCAGCTAATTGATCGAAGGCAAAATAATCACTTCCTGATCCAAGACCATGCCTTATTCTATACAAAAAACGACCATCACGATTCATCAAAGATTTTTGTTTCTTTACCTTGGTTCATTAGTCACATTATTTCGATCAATTTGCATCCATTTACCATAGACAGTTTGTCCAGCAGGATCATAAGCACTTGGAACCTATAATTGAAACTCAAAAAAGTTAGAAAATATGATGAGGACACTTACCATTTTTCCTGCTTCAACAATGGCATCAAATAACATTGGAGAAGCCTTGACATCAACCTTATAAAATCCTATTTAAATAAAACATACAGAAATTCATCGTTGATAAGAGCAAAAGAAAAATACCATCAACAGCAACATCCATGTTCAAGTAGGAAACAATACGAGCTCCCAATACTTTAACATATTCCTAATTAATAATATATTATTATGGCTTGGCGAATAAAAATATAATCAAACATAACATATACCTCAACATATTCTACTGATCCTATGAGCCCATATTCTTCAGCGCCCCATGAACAAAACATTAAACTACGTCGTGGTCGAAAACCTATTAAAAATAATCGTTTATTTTAGTATCATCTAGATACGAGCATGAAGAATTACCATTTTTATGCATTTCACCAAGTACTCGGGTTATTTCTAAAAGAGTAGCTGTTCCACTCGTGGGATCGAGAGAGCCCAAACTCCAAGCATCCCTAAAAGTACAAAAAATACTCATCATAAATATAATTTTTAGAATTTATCAAAAAAATTATAATTGATATCTACAAAAGAAAAAGAGAAAAGATTTTGCACGCATACAGAATTTTCAAACAACTATTCTACTAACATCAATAACAGATAATGCAAAACCATTTTTTTTCCCTATTATTTAAAATGCAGTCTGCATATTAACTTATTCTACAGTATGAATATGATGATGAAAACGAAGCAAATCGCAGCAAATGAATCATATTAATAACAATATTTTATCAATTATATAAACGTTACATTCAAAATGATTTCATTTAACTTACCGATGATTGCCGATAACAACATAACGATCTAAAAGAATAAGAAATTTCTCTATTTTATTGGTATCTAAGATCGAGCTGACTGTACCTGGTTCAATTTCACCTTTCATTATTCCAATCACATTATATGTATCTTTTCTTTCAAGTCGATTGTATGTTTTCACTTCGATTGTACTATTCAAAACAAACAGTTATTTGCTATAGCCACTGCAAATGACTTATCCTACGATGCATTGAGAAGTTCTCCACCATAACGATATATTACGTTTGATAATGTTCCACGCCATTCAACTGGTACTTCATTACCTTGCATATATCTAAATGTAACATTTTCTCCCATCAACTAACAATAAAATTCAAAGATTTCTTACTGAAGAATAATCTGAGCTTCACCATAACCAATTGGTTGAGCAGGAATTTTAGGTAGGAAGCGCAAACTTTCTTCTCTCATTCTGTACATGTAGTCTATGGTATCCAAACAGTTTATATTTATTAAATTAATATATAGGATATGGTGAAACCTGTCGATGGATATATAGGTGTCAAAGGATCACCATTCGAAGGAAACGTTGCTCCCCGTTGCACACCGCTCGGAGGCATGTACCACTTTTGATCATAGACTTGATCAGGTGTTGTTCCAAATGGAGCATAATCAGCTGGATCATTATATAATATTGCACCTATAGCTCCAAAATATTGAGCATGCATCACCTATAAATCTCTCGATGATTCTCAAACATATACTCTTACATGAACGAGATAATAAAAAGCATACCTTATCTCCTCGAAAAATACGACCATATCGCATGATGATAATACTACCTTGAAGACTAACATTTCCAACTATAGATGCTAGTTTTTGAAGATCTTCAAGTTCACCATAGTTAGCATAGTATAGTTTAGTCTATTATATCAAACATACATTTATTCTTTAACATGAAATTTATTATAAATATTCCTTGATGACTTACACTAGAGACAGTTCCATTAGGTGTATAAGCAAGAAATGGATTAACTGTTTTTGGTTGTGTTGTATCATACACAGGTTCTACTCCAGATGTTTGAAAAATGACCATACCATCAATATTTGTGAGAGTAACTCTGAATAGGTATATAAAAAAAGTGAATAAACATATTTATTGAGTTCTCTATTTACCGATTAGGATTGTTATTATCAGGATAAGAAAGAAGAACATTATATTTTGGTTTCGTTACTTGTAAACCATCAGTTTTCCATCGTTGTTCAATGACTTCAGCACTTTCTAAATCTTCAGGTAGACCAGCTAGATGAGGACGTGAAGTAAGATCTCTATATGATTTAATGTTCTATAGATATTTTTGTTGAAATGAAAGTGAAGTGACGATTACTTAAGATTTGTTTCGATGTTAGTTGCTTGTATAGAGTCAATAAATATTTGATAATTTCGTTGATCTGCTGGTTTTGTAAGACGATCATACTTCCAAGATGTTTTTGGAACAGCGAAATGGCCAATGATGATACCAAGTCCAAGGGCAAGTGCAGTTGCAACCACAGCAACAATAATCAAAAACTAGGTGTCGTTAAGTGATTAATTTGAAAGTTGGACAACATTATTATCTCTTACTTTCGGACTCATAGTTAGAAAAGTTTACCTTGAATTGTGTTGTTATTGTCGTCTAGTTTTATTACTTGATGCACAGACTAAGATTTATGAATCTCCTTGAAGTAAGTTTAGCGTCTTCGCTCTTTAAATGAAGTTCGATTAGTTTTTTATTATAGTGTTTCTTTTCTTATCATTCTGTCCTCTTTTTTTTCTATTACTCTGCCAACATTTGCGAAAGATTAGACATTATTTTATTTTATTTTTTACTTTATCGTCAAGATCATTTCTGTAATCATTTCGCAATGGATATGAAATAGAACGATGATTGCAATAGAAAAGAAAATAATGTATTTTTCTATGTGAATATGTTAAACTTTTCTATTATTAATATATGCGTTACGATCAAAGTTGAAACTATTTCGAGACCAAAGAAAAAATATATGCCATTATAGTGTTGCCAGAACTGACAAATACGAGCTTTCTTGAGTACGACTGCATAAGAGTGAGTTTCACAAAAACCTCACTAGAGAAAACTCTAGTTGGTGGTTTCAGAAAAAGAGTATCGATTTTGAGATTAAGATAGTGTAAGATGATTGACCAAAATATTGTTGTCATTATTTGTTTTTACTATCAAGTGTCAAGCAATGAAACAGTTACAGCTAAATGTTACTACATTTAAGAGAAGTGAGCATGTGTTTACTATTTGTGATTAACAATACGTGATATTGAAGCATTACAAAGCCGCTTTAAAGCAATATTCTTCCAATAGGGGTTGATGTAGCCAGCACCGACAAATATTTCAGACTAAGTTGATATAAAGGAGAATAAAGATTTTTCTTGAGAAAAAGTTAATTAATTTTTCTACTGTTTTTCCATATAAAAGCATTACACTCAGACAAAAGTTTTACTCTGTTATCAAAAACAGATTATGAGTGTGGATGTGGATACTGATGAAGAGAACACTTACATCCATATCTAACAACACATTCATTTTATTCAGTACCAAAGAATCATGTATACGAAACACAACAGGAACTATATGATATACAAATATCAATCAGATATGATAACATACTACATTACTAGTTAAAGAGAATAGCAAAAAATGTGTATCTTTGATTCTAGTATAGTATAGCGTTTATTCATCTGAATACATATCTATGAAGAACTAAAAGAAGAAGTCAGCAGTTTATTTCACTTTCGGAAAAAATAAACTACAATTTTATCAATCATCTATTTAATACAATGCATATACAGGGTGTCCCATAAGTAACAAGACAAGGAAAAAAAGTTTGAATATCTCCATTAGGGCTCGACCAAATGGGCTCAATTTTTTATCAAGGATAGAGGCATCTGCACACTCCAAATCCATACGAACAAGGTGAATGAGAACCTTTGTTAAGTATCGCTAGTGACCTCAACAATAAAATTTTTTCTTTGTCACTGGTAAGAAAAAACCAATATACAGGATAGTGCAAAAGTCACTTTATCGAAAAGAAAATTAAATATTTCCATTACGGCTCGAGCAACCGAGCTGATTTTTTTACCAAAAATAGAGGCATGCTTATACTTCAAATCCATACAGACAAGCTTAGTGAGGACCTTTGTTAAGTATATTTTTTTATTTTCCTGTCTGTGAAAAAGTAAAAATTTTATTGTTGAGGTCAATAGTGATACTTAACAAAGGTTCTCATTCACCTTGTTCGTATGGATTTGGAGTGTGCAGATGCCTCTATCCTTGATAAAAAATTGAGCCCATTTGGTCGAGCCCTAATGGAGATATTCAAACTTTTTTTCCTTGTCTTGTTACTTATGGGACACCCTGTATATCAAGGCTTTCGAGTGCGACTTATTTGCCAAATTCTGTGTAGCGCACATGGTAAGGTTTCCTTAGAGACTTGTATGGAAACGGTTGATTTTCTGGACATCTACATCTCTATGTGACAATAAAATATGATTTTTGAAGGTAAAGCTATCTTCACGAACAGATATCATAGACATCATTGTATCGACGATGTACCTCTTTGTAGTTGAGACAAATGTTGATCACTGAAATGACCTGTATCAAACATTTTATGATTAGATAAAATACTCTTAATGAATTATTCTTTTTGCTTATAAAATCCTTACCTAAGTAGGATAAGCATGCGTAATAGAGTTCCATTCTTTGACACTCCTCTTTGTATAACAACTTTTGGCATTAGTGTATTAGCTATGATCTTCTATATTCAATAGTGAACACCATTCGAATAGTACAACTCTCAAATTATTATCACCCTACACGTATATTCCACAGATGCATAAGTAAAATAGTGATCATTTTATTATAAACGAATACAATGATCTACATATAATTGGTGGTTAATCATATTTCTACGTATCCTTTAATGCAAGCAGCAAAATTATGAAGAAAAATTATTAAACTCTTTCAGTGTAGCTAATGCACCACGCACAAAATACGTTACTATCGCTATTTGATTAGCGATTTCTCTTGAATCGTCACTGACAATAGCATCACTAAGAGAAGGAAAACCATCTGCTGCATATAAATTAATTTTCGCTGGTGCATAGACAACATGTCTTGAAATAAAGTCAA